CCCCCCCCCCCCCAGCAGCCCCGCAGCTCACCACGAGCGAGTGCTTTGCAGCCCCGGGAAGCAAAACGTGCCCAGCACTGTCTGCAAGCGGCCAAGCAGGTGGGCAGGATGAGGCCAGCGCTGGCTCAGCTTGGACAGCCACAGTGGCCCTGGGCTGGGCTGCACTCCATGGATGACCTGTCAGCAGTGATGGATGGAGAGCTGGAAGCAGCTCTGGGCCCGCCGCCTCCCCGAGGCACGTGCTCTGCTCTCGCTGCTGCCAGTTGCCTCCTGGCCGCAGCCCTGCCTTCACGCCTTGCAGCCGCCGGGCACAGGAGGAGCTGGTTCCCCGACGGTGACCACAGTGTCCTGCCGAGCCGTGCCACGCTGGGGCCATGGGGCTGTGCGGGGTCTGCTTTCCCGTGGCTCTGCTCGTCCTCGCGGCCGCAGGTGTCCAGAGCCGGGAGGCGGGTGAGCGAGAACATCCCTGTGCATGGCCGTGCTGGGGAGGTGTCCCACCGTGGGGCACGCATGTCCCCCTGGGGGATGCCACACTCCAGCCCACACAGCCGGGATCCCACGTAGCCCGGCTGGGTCTCCACGCTCTGCCCTGCAGGACCATGCACCCTCCACGTGCTGGTGGCCCTGGACGTCACCGATTACCAGCAGTCCAACCTGCAGCCCTACCTGGAGCGGGTTCTGCGGGACCTGGCAGCGCTGGACCACCTTACCTGCAGCCCGCTTGACCTGAGCATCAGCCTGCAGAGCACGCAGCGGGACGGGGACACCCTCTTCCAGGCCCGGCTGCGGGAGCCCTGGGTGGATGTGCTGCAACGCCTGGCGCGGGCGCACTCCTTCCAGCGCTCCTACCTCAACCAGCCCGCCCTGCAGAGCTTCCTTGGCACCCTGGCACGGCAGGCGGCTGATGCCAAGGTATGGCACTGGCACAGCCACGCCCGTTGCTCCCCGTGAGGCTGGGGGATGCCGGGCGCTCCCGCTGCTGGGGGGTTGCTGCAGAGCACCAGCCCCCGCCTCCTCGCCCAGGTGCTGCTGGTGTTCACGGATGGGCTGGATGATGATGCAGGGAAGATGAAGGAAGCGGCAATGTCGGCTTGGCTGCAAGGTGGGGTGGCAACGGCTGTGCGAGGCTTGGCCGGGTGACCCCTGTGAGTGGGGAAAGCTGGTGGGGGCCAGGGGCCACCCGGCGCAGCGTGACGCCTCGTGACACCCCGTCCCCTCCAGACCAGGCTGACCTGCTGGTGACGGTGGCGGTGAACAACGTCACGGGGCTGGGGGACCTGCAGCAGGTGGAGTTTGGGCGATGGCTGGGGAGCGGGCAGCAGCTCGCTGTGGACATGCCGGAGGCTGGTGGGCATGTGGCACAGGAGCTGGTGAGGATGAGCAGCGGTGGGGTGGGTGGTGGGATCCCTGTGGGCTCTGAGTGGGGGTGCCACCCTCTCCCTGCAGCTGGCCCTGGCAGAGCGGACGTGCTGCCAGATGTGTCCCTGCACCTGCGTGGGGCTGCCCGGTCTGCGAGGCCCCGGCGGCCCCCGAGGGAACAAGGTAAAGGACTGGGAGAGTGGGGGGATGCGGGAGGGATGCCCAGCCCTGCAGACAGCCCGGGGCAGGGCTCAGACCTTTCCCTTCCCCATCAGAGGGGATGTTTCCCCAGGCCCCCCACCATGCCCTCAGGAGAGCAGTCCCATCCTTCCCATCCCTCTCTGCTGGGACGGATGCGTGGGCTCTGCATCACCCAGCCGGGCTCCCAGAGCAAACCCTGAGGCTGGGCCGTGCCCACCTTGATGCTGCAGCCATGGTGCCGAAGCGCTGAGCAAAGCAAGGGGAAACCGAGGCCCAGGGGGTGGGGGAGGGCTCACGATGCTTCCCCAGGGGAATTGCACCCTCGTGCTGCATGCACAGCCCTGGATCCCTTTCCCAGGGCCAAGAGGAGCCCTGGGAGCTCAGCTCAGCTCAAGCCCTTGCCCCGCTCAAGCCCTTCCTCCCCGAGCTGGGAAGGGAGCCCAGCCGTGCTGGCTCCCAGCCTGGGGTCTGTCATCGGGCCGGGGGGTCACGGCTGCCGTTCCCAGGGTCTCTCTGTCCTAGGGAGTGACAGGCAGCAAGGGACGCGCTGGAGACGAGGGCGAGCACGGGCACAGCGTGAGTCGGCTGTGGGACCCCTGGGGATGGGAGAGGGTGGCCCTGGGGACGAGGGGCGAAGGGGACCCCCACCACCACATTGCCACTGACAGCCTCCTCTCCCCTCCCGAGTGCAGGGGGAGCAGGGACCACAAGGTCTCCACGGCAGCCGAGGGATGCAGGGATGCCCGGGACAGTGTGGACCGAAGGTGAGGGGCCGTCCCAGCCCAGCATGGTTCCATCCTGCAGCGTGGGTGCCCACCGCTCCCCGGCTGCTCTCCTGTGTCTCTTTGCAGGGCTTCGTGGGTCACCCTGGGGAGCAGGTACGTCCCTGCCTCGTGGTTTATCCTGTGGCTCCTGCAGGCACCAATGGTGGCCAAGGCCATGGACAGCTGGCAGCGGCAAGGAGACCTCGAGGATGGGCAGGGAAGAGAGGGATCCGGGGAGGGGAATGGGAGATGGTCATGATGGATGGAGGGGTGGGATGGCCTGGGGTGCTGGGGGAAATGGGGCAAAGCCAGGACCTGGCTATTTCACCTGTGCCGTATAAACTGGCATCAGACCGTGTCACCTCCGTGCAGGGATCTCCTGGAGAAGCCGGCTACGACGGCGTGGATGGGGAGCAGGTGAGCTGTGCAGCGGGGCATTGCACCAGCCAGCCGGTGCAGCCCTCCCTCCATCCCGGCACAGCCACCCGAGCGGGACCGGGCATGGGCACGGGCACGGGCGCAGCCTCCTTTCTCCTCCCCAGGGTGAACTGGGGACCCCCGGCCGCCCTGGAGAGAAGGGGTCCCGAGGGAGGCAGGTGCGGCGCTGCACGGCTGAGCCTCGGCAAAGCACTGCCTCCTTTGCCTGCCGCCCAGCTGCTAAATCCCTTCCTCCTGCCTTCACCTAGGGGCAGAAAGGCTCCCGGGGTGCCCGGGGGGAGAAGGGGCCCCCAGGCCCTTGTGGAGAGGTGGTGAGTACAGGCTTGCAGCCCTGGGGCTCCACAGGGTGCTGGGGGGCTCGCTGAGCCCCCTCTCTGCTCCCCAGGGGCCACCCGGGAGGAGAAGCCCTGAGCCCGGCACCCCAGGGTGGAGAGGAGATGGGGGTCCCCAGGTAAGGGCTGGCAGGGGCCAGGACGGTGCTCGGGGATGCCGGGTGGCGGCGGTGGAGCACCTGGTCGGCAGGACCCTTTTGGGGACGAGATGTGCTGGGAGGACAGCCAGGAGCTCTGCTTCCCTCTCAACACCCGTGATTTCCAGGGAGACCCCGGCCTGGATGGTCCCCCGGGGCCAGTGGGACCCCCAGGTCCCCCCGCTCACCCGGTAGGTGCCATGAGCAGGGGGGCACCAGGGTCTGCGCCGGGTGTCCCTGTGCCATGAGTCCCTGTGCTGGGGACGTGGCCGCTGACGGCGCTTCCCTCCGCAGACCTCGTGCCAGAAAGGGCAGCAGGGAGCACAGGTAGGGCTGGCAGCACCTGAAGACACGGGCATCTGTCTGCCCCAGGAACCGGGGACATCTCCCCACCGGAGCCTGAGCTGTCCCGTCTCCTCACAGGGCAAGAAGGGGAACCGTGGCAGCCCCGGCCCCGGGGGACAGAAGGGCTACGGAGGCACCCAGGTGAGGCCAGGGAAGCCCCTGCCAGCCCTGGGACCCCTGGGCGGGCACCCCCGCTGCCCTCTCTGCTTTCCCTTTGCAGGGGCTGCCGGGGCCACGGGGGACGAAGGGTGTGACCGGCCGCCTGGGGAGCAGAGGACTTCAGGTGCCGTCCCCCTCCTTGTGCTGGGGTCCCTAGTGGGTGCTGGTGGCCACCGTGAGCCGGCGGCTGTGCCGGTGGGTGCCCGCCCCAGGGGTGCTCCTCGGCATCCTTGATCCGCCTTTGCCTTTCGCCCAGGGTCTGCCCGGAGCCAAGGGCTCCCAGGGAGCTGCTGGCCCAGCCGGCCCCAAAGGGGAGAAGGTGAGCGATACCACGACGTGGCATTTGGCAGCCTCCCCCCGTGCACCCCCAGCCTGCAGCCCCGCTTTCTCTTCCAGGGGACGGCAGGAGCCGAGGGCAGGAAGGGGAGCGTGGGACCGCGGGGGCCCAAGGGTGCCCTGGTAAGGCTGTGCCCCTCGGGGGTGTGGGGTCCTCCCCGGGGGCACTGCAGCCGGGGGAGGCATGGAAAAGCCATGGCCAAGGAAGCTTTGGGAAGAGGGGTATTTGTGTAGGTCCTACAGTAATCTGCTTTGGGATTTTTCTCCCCTCCCAGGGCGAGAACGGGTGTGACCAGAGAGGTGCTGCAGGGAGGAAGGGTGCCAAGGTACCGGCAGCCCAGAGCCGGGGTGGAGGCGAGTGGGATGAGCGTGGGGCAGAGCTCTGTCCCCGCCCGTGGGGCTGCCGGGGGTCCCGGCCGCGCTCACGTGTGCTGCTTCCCCCAGGGTGCTCGGGGTCTGCCAGGATACCCCGGAGCTCAGGTGAGAGCGTGGGGGGCCGGGAGGGAGCATGGGGACCTGGCCAGGGCTGGCCGGTCCACGCTGTGGGGTGCTGGGAAGGACGGGAAACGGATTCCTCCGAGTGTCCCCTCCACCAGGGTGATGGTGAGAGAGGATCCCCAGGGGACAAGGGCGGCTGCCTGGGCGCAGGGTGCAGGGTG